TGCAAGTCTTGTAAAGACTGTAATTTATGGTTACCGATTTATATTTTTTCTGTGCTAGACAAAGTCTACAATGTAATTTTATAGAAACGTAAACAGTAATATATTTTTGTATTTCAAAGTCATTGTACTAGTTTTGAAAATAAAAAAAAACAAATCCCAATCATCAAAAGAACTCTACTTCTCAGGATAGGACATCCTTGGCAATCCAGGCATAATCTTCAACAAGGAATAAATTGCTCTTGGATTGCTAAGAATGCTTATTTGTTTGTCAACCAACACAAAAGTTTGACTTTCACCAACATAATGTAGTGAAGTGTAGACACAAAACATGTGCAACAAAAAATATGCTCAATGCTTATTATTTACCACCAAATTGTACAAAATGTTGCACACTTTTTGTGTCGACTAAAGCAAACTTCAGTTCAGAGGAAGCACACTATGAAAACAAAACAACAGTGTCAGCCACAAGGTGATTTATTCAAGCATATTTAGAACTTTTCAAATTGTTTTTTGTCCTTCTGTACACCTTTGCCTTTRGAGACTTTYAGAACATTGAACCKAACAGTCTTACTGAGAGGACGGCACTGGCCAATGGTAACTAAATCACCGATACCAGCATCCCTAGGAAACAATAAGACAATGAATTAGTAAAACAAAGTAGCTTTAGAACATTACTGTAAAATCATTCATTCACTAATATTTATTGCTGTTTCCCAGCCAATTGCTAGAAAATTAGGGGGCTTTCATTYATAAATATATGCATAACAAGTATAAACATCTTCAAACCCCTCTAAACAATGATTTTCAAAATCATTAACCCCCTCCTCCCCTCCAGTCCCCCTTCCCAATGAGCTAATAAATGAAAGCCTCCTTACAGAAGWGTAATAGTTGACAAGCAAAATTCAGCGATTATTATAAGAATTAATAAAAGAACTGAAGATGACGTTCTGGGAAAACAAAGAATCCTAGTGTATATTAATCTCAATATCTAAAGTTTACTGCTGTATTCAAWGTGTCATACCTAAAGCAAGGCGAAAGRTGAGCTGACAGGGTCTTGTGACGCTTCTCAAATCTGTTGTACTTTTTWATRTAATGAAGATAATCACGTCGTACTACWACTGTTCGCTTCATCTTCATACTTTTAATGACACCAGTGAGAATACGGCCACGGATGCTGACATTGCCAGTGAAAGGGCATTTCTTGTCCACGTAGGTACCATCAATAGCCTAAACAGAAGGTATTRTTAGTTATAAACAGAATTGGAAAAACAATATTTGCAAGTTTTGCCACAAGCAGAAACAGTAAATAACTAAACAACTTATTCAACTTACATCTTTTGGTGTTTTAAACCCTAAGCCAACATTTCTGACATAACGAAGTTCCTTCTTCTTGCCTAATGGCTGAGCAAGAACACGCTTTCTGTTTTGGAATATAGGGGCCTGTTTCTGGTAAGCCCTCTCTGTCTGGAAAATACAAACAATGGTAAGATTTGAGATTAATCATGTCAACTGTGAATGAAAAATAATGTATGTTCCTTTCTGTATCTTTGATTGTACGTCATGAAATGATAGCTCTGAAGCAATTTTCACAGACATTTGATAAATTACACTAAAGTATGAAACAATGGCATTTTCTAAAAAAAATCATACATTTCTACAGCTAAATATTGGGTAAATATAACTTATAACTCAAAGATCCACTATTAGCATTTTATTAGTGGAATTGTAATGTCTTGGTGCATCAGTCACTACTAGTGAAGTCGTAAGGTCGACAATAACACAAATCAACGTATGAATTCATAAAAGAACTGGCAAAAAATCGAATTCTGATCACGTTGTAAATTTCAACCCTAAACACGCTTTATGTTACAACCCGAAAAATCACGGAATTCGACCAAACAGAACTGATAAAACTGGACTGATAGTTCAAGCAGTCATTACACTTTATCTACGCAGTACTGGATGTAAAAGATAGTCTTTAAAAAGAGCTTTTATTGGTGTTCAAAAGTGGACTAGTCTTGAGCCTTACTTGTTCCGCCATGGCTGCCACTGAAAAGAGAACGAACCACGTGGTGTCCCGGATCTTATCCCAGCATGCAGCGCGCATATGAAAACGAGGCAGATTCAAAATGGCGGCAGATTTAGTTTTGACAAGAACATCACATTCCTTCTAATTTCTATAGCTGTCTCTGAAATATAATTATATATTTAGAATTTTTATTTAATATTTGAGATAAGCTTTTTAGAGATTTTATTCAAATCATGGCTGCACTGAAAATGTGAGTTTTCGAACAAAATTATTAAGTAAACTTCTTCATCGTTGCATAGTGCTTTGTAGAAGAGAATATTTTTTTTATCATTGATTGTTTTGTTGCTTTGCAGACTTGTTTGTGGTGAGGTGAACGGTAGGATCAATCAGATGTATAACAGAGTTAAGAATATCTTAAAGAAAAATCCTGACTTTGAGGTAATAACTTCCCCTTGACTTGAGACAAGAAATTTAGAACGTTGTATTAATTGTTGTTATTTTTTAAAATCAATTAATTAATTAATTTATTTATTTTTTGTGTAGATGGTGCTGTGTGTTGGCAGTTTTTTTGGTAGTAATGAAGAAAATGCCAAGGAATGGGAGACGTATGTCAATGGTGATGTAACTGCACCCATTGTAACATACATCCTTGGACCTAATGACCCAGAAGAAATGAAATACTTTGACTCATCTTTCTTAGAAGATGGAAAAGAACTCTGTGAAAATATTACTTATTTAGGTATAAAGTCATTTGTTTGTTATCATTGTCATCATCATTAYTGGACCTGGTTCACACAAAGCTTACTATGTGTGATTTTTATCAGCAATCTCATCACCCATTGAACAATAAGCATGCTTCACACAAAAAAAGACAAAGAAAAATAATCAAAATAAAGTGCTCATGAAAACTACTCACTAACATTATTGACTGACAAATTGCACTTTTTATAAATATCAATACCGGTACACTTTTCAATACCAAAATCTTTGAGTATAATCAGTAACATGTATAATAATTATTTTTTTATTGTCAATGACATCATTGAAATTGTRAACAGGAAGGAAAGGAATACTGAAGACACCTTCGGGGTTAGAAATAGCGTATCTTAGTGGAGCTGACAAAACTCAAGGCCTAAAGGTAATAAGAGTTACTAGAGTACGGCAACTTTATGCATAACTGGAATAACCAGGATATCATATTGGTTATCAGGATGGTAGTGCATTTTCTGAAGAAGATGTTGAGAGTCTTATCAGTAAAACTAAAGATGACAAGTTTGTTGGTGTTGATATCTTACTWACATCATGTTGGCCTCAAGATGTCACACAATACACCACTAAACCAGTAAGTAAAATGCATCCTAGACAATGTTATTACTATCAAATATCTACTTGTATGAAAACCATTTTCATTAATGCTGCAAGGGTTAAGAAGACTGTCACTTTAGGTGGTGCACTATGTCATTGATTAGACTTTCACGTCTTCTTAGAAAACAATATTCAGTTGTATGTTTTTTTTTTGTTTTTTTGTTTTGCTTTGATTCGCAGGCAGATGTTGAAACTATTCCTGAAGGCTCTAGACTAATTTCTAAACTTGCTTACAAACTACGACCAAGATATCACTTTTGTAGCATGGAAAATATACATTATGAGAGATCACCTTACAGGTAATGTTAATAATAACCCTCGCAATGCTTTAACCATTTTGGAACCACTTTTTGAGACAATCTCTTCCAAACATTTCTTCAGTTTTTTCACTGTTTTTACCTTCTTTTTCCTGATAATATATTTTAGGAATGGTAAACTARAGTTATATCAGGCAATGCATATCAGCATAAGATAATCAATATTTTATATCTTTAGAAATCATCAAGTTTTACGTGAGGCATCACGACATGTCTCTCGTTTTATCTCCCTTTCATGTGTTGGMAATAAGCAAAAGAGAAAGGTATGTCTAGCAACTGTATTTCTTAAGTCACTCCATTTTCTAAGTTATCAGYATCTTTTACAGTATATGTATGCCTTCAATATTCTACCAATGTGTAATATGGACAAAGATAAGCTCATAGAGCAGCCRCAAGATGTCACAGAGCTTCCTTACAACAAAGTGTTGCTGAGTGCAGCAACAGACAGTAAACAGGTATAATTTTACAGTAATTCACAGTTTAWTGATAGACAAAGGCTCTAAAATTTACAATTTCTTTGTTAGTCTTCAGATAAAGGTGGCTTTTTCTTTGATATGGCTCACYCTGAGGGAAGAGGGCAAAAGCGCAAAGGACATCAAGGTTTGTATTTGAAAGAGAATGTATGTGTCTTCACAGCAGTGTACAGTGTATTAGCTATTTCTTTTCTTATGTTCATGTTTTAGATGGTCCAAAGCAACAYAAACAAGCAAAAGGACCTCGTAAGTATAATGGTAATGTCAATGGTGATAGACATGATAGTTAACTACATSTTGTATTGTTACAGCCCCATTAAAAGGAGACTGCTGGTTTTGTCTTGGTAGTCCTAAAGTAGAGAGGCATCTTGTTGTTAGTGTTGGGAACTTGGTAAGCTAGACGTTACATGTATAAAAATATTTTTATTCTTTATGTTGTCTTTTAATTCCATACATTTTTCTCATGAATTGTTCTTTATGGGTTCCCTGTGGCAAGAGGAGCACAGGGATCCCAAAAATGAAAAAGAAATTGGATGGGATATTGTTTTTCATACTTTATCTTTAATACAATCAATTTCACATTAATTTAGTATCAAAATGTATGAATTGTTAGTATATAATGTAACATTCATTCATACAGACCTATCTTGCTTTGGCCAAAGGTGGACTTGTAGATAATCATGTTCTTGTTTGTCCCATTGCACAYTTTGAGTCAACTGTTAAACTCACAGAGGTTAGTATACCACACATGATACTTTCTCTATTGATAATATTGATGATTGTWTACCTTTTGGTGCTMATATTTTATTTCAAATATTATATTMTATTCTTATTTTCTATTTTAGGAGACCCTTATGGAAATTGAAAAGTATCCTGAAATATTGTTAATCCTGTTTAMGTTTTATTCCKTCAATYATCTCTGTCTCAACTCATCMCTYCATTATTTCATTTATTTATGTTTATTCAAATTGTTCGGTATATATCTATTCRACAATGCTGCTTCATAGATCTGGGGAGCAAGGATGGCYGAGCKGTTAAAACGCCRGTCTATCACYGCTGTGGTCCTGGTTCGATKCCCGGTCCRGGACTATATGTGATTTGAGTTTGTAGGCTGGTTCTCTTCCTTGCTCCGAGGGTTTTTCTCCAGGTCCGCTGGTTTTCCTCCCTCAGTCAAAAACTAGCTGTGAGGAGTGTCGTCTAGTAAAATAATGAATGTTGAGGTAGTGAGTATGAGTGAATATATAGAGGGCCACAAGTTTATTAGTCTAAGGACTATTACGTGCTACCCTCTCAAAACAAAAGACTTTATTAGACTTTATTATCTAGCTTTTATTATTATCTACCCATTCATTCAGTTATTSATTTCATTGATTTATGAATCTTATTTGATCATTCATTCGTCCATCTGTCTGATCAACTGTCTSTCTCCTCATTGTTACCTTCACCATTTGTTAAGATATAAGCAGGCATTAAAAAGATTATTTAAAGACAATAACCAATCCTGTGTAATGTTTGAAAGAAACTTCTACACGCAGCACTTACAATTACAGGTCAGTCATAAATCAYGTCATCATTTCRWTYAAACTGAGTGATATAATTCCTTTTGGTGCTTTAATTGTACAACATGATAGGTTGTCCCAGTGCCAGAAACGGATGATGAATCTCTAAAGAAAGTATTTCGAGAGGAAGCAGATATGAGAGGAATGGAAATGAGAGATGTACCTGCTGGGGTAGCTCTGACAGAGGTAAGTAATCCATTAAATAATATTAGTCATAGTATTACAGATATGTGCAACTTATTCTTGACTTGGGCTTCCTGTGCCACAGGAATCCTGTAGCTTTACAGCTCTTGCCCAACAAATGACTGTAGTTTCATGTTCAGGTGGTTCCTGTTGGTGCCCCATATTTTGTTGTTGAGTTCAACAATGGTGAGAGACTGCTTCACAGAGTCAAAGGCAAAATGGACTTACAGTTTGGAAGGTATGTTGTCAAACTAGCAGTTTTAGARGRAAGGGGTGGTTTTACATTTTAATCAACCACACTCCTCTGCAGGCTAGGAAGCCYGAGAAAAGGGTAGCCTTCAAAGGAGACTGACACACCCACTGATGTTTCCGCTTCTTGTGTCCTGTAGGGAGGTGCTGGCCTGTGATGCTATTCTCAACATGCCACACAGAGCAGACTGGAAAGAATGCAAAGTGTCTCAGGAACATGAAAAACAAATGACAAGTGCCTTCAGGAAAAGCTTTCAGCTTTATGACTTTAATCTGTAGACTTGAACATGTCTGACTGGAAGATTAGCATAGGATGAAATGAATGGGAAATCATTGCAACCAGTGATGAACGTATGACATTCATGAGAACCAATCCATGAAAATGCTTATATTGGTGTGTAAACAATCCACCAGAGGATAGTTTCCTGGAGTGCAGGATTCCAGCAATGAATTACATGTATCACTGTGCATAGGACCAAAAAAGTTCACACTTCAATGAACATATATTTTTYAAATTTATTTTGTATTATTTTTGTACAGTCTTTATTGTTACCCATAGCTACTACAATCAACATTAATTGTACCTTAACCCTGATGCATTCACAACATTAGTAATATTAATGGCTGTATAAATTTGTATACTTAGAAATACTCAGTGACTGGCACTATAAAAAATCAAAGTATGTCAATCATAAAATGGTTTGTGACTAACGAAGGTTTGTTTTGCTGTAAGGAAAGCTCATATTATAATCCCTAATCACCTACGTTTTTGTAGAGAAATTCTTAATTCATAATTTTATTAGTTTACGGTAATTTCATCAAAGACTTGATTCTCATTCTGAATTTGACATCAAAAGCAACACAGCAATGTATATGTGGTTWATGTTTGTTCTCAAATAACCATTCCACATTTGCCAAAGCTTGTAAGTTTAAATTGATATTTATATATTTCATATGTTCTTGTTGCATTGATGAATTTGTAGTTTTTCCATGATTGATTTRTATAAATGTTCATTTTTCAAGTAAGTTTAACTTAACTTGGTAGAATACATAGGGATAGTAGTCATGCTGTGCCATTATTAATCCTGGGATATCAACTTGAAGCTGCAAAATAAATATAGTATTCATTACAAGTTATTGTGTAGCAGTCTAGCAATCTACAACAACCCGGCCTCGTTACACACCTCATTAATGTCAGAATTTCCATATGACTTGGATTCTAAGTAGYTGTACGATGAGTCAAGCATATCACGAATCTTTTTGTGAGTCTTTTTGGAAGGCTAYAAGATATACAACAAAAATATAAGATTATCATTCAAGATGGACTTCAAAAACAGACTGTGTCATTGATTCTTCTATCCATGCATTTATTACTCTTTTCATCCATCCCTTTTCCCATTCATCCATTTATTTGTTCATCTCATTTATTTCCATTTCTTTTCCTGTTCATTCATTCATTCATAAAGGTTTTTCTTTGTATAAATACCTGTATGAGCATTGCTTGAAAGTTAACTGGCAAACCATATCTAAACAAACACAAAAGTTTAAATGAGACAAACTTAATGATGACATCTCAGTAAACAGCATTCACAATACCTGAGTACTGATTCCACAAAGACGCGCAATGCCTTAACATGAATCCACGCAGTAAATGATTCACTGAAGTTGACTCTCAACCATCTCACTAATGGTCCCTGGACAAGAAAAAGGTTGAGATTTCTTCACAATTGGAAAACCTTAAAATGACTTTATAACACTCAACTGGCTTCATAGCACTGAAATGGCTTTATAGCACTCAAATGGCTTCATAGCACTCAAATGGCTTTATAGCACTCAAATGGCTTCATAGCACTGAAATGGCTTTATCACACTCAAATGGCTTCATAGCACTTGAACGGATAGCTCTTTATAGATTAATGTTCCATAATGATTATTGTATACTTACAAACTGCTTCTTTTTTGTTGATTCAAGTTTGGTTATTTCATTTTTTCCTGCTTCCAGTTCTTTCTCATCATAAACAAAATCTCTAACCAGGAATCTGGACAAGAACAGTTAATAAGTGCAAATACTAGTCTATAAAATGAAAAGCACACAAATGAAGTACTTATTATCTCTTGCATGAAGCTTGAATTCATCAGCAACCTTCTTGAATAGTGTCACCGTGAACAAGCCATTTTCATTGTCTTCAAATACAAGTCTGTTTGATAATATCATATTAAGAGTTTTAAACTCACGTCAATGTTTGACAACATGTCRACTAGACTACTTACTTGGTTGATTCTGGAACAACCATGTCTGTTAATTTCCAGTATTTGTTTCTCCAGTCATTATATAGTGCTCTGTGAACAATAAGTTACACTATAAGATTATCCACTGATTACTATTGATTTTCTTTTCATGGCACTTGCTTGGCTTCCCACACTACAATGGCATCTGACACTTGAATGGCTTCAAATATTACAATTGCTTTTGACACTATAATGGCTTCTAAAACTTCCAACACTACAATAGCACTTTACACTGAAATGGCTTCCAACACTACAATGGATTCCCAAAATTACTATAATGACTTCCAACACCATATGGCTTGCAATGGTAAAGTTAAAAACAACCATTACTGTTGGTTCATAATAATAATAATAATAATAATAATAATAATATATTTAACGAGGAAGCCTTATCACCAAAGGTGATTTTCATAAGGGTCCTCAAATACATTATGAGGTACATTATTACCTTGGTACAACAACCAGTAATGTAGTGAGATATTCAGAATCAAGAACGAAGTGTTCTTTCTTTACCAGTTCTCCAAGATTCCTGGATAGCAGACTCCCCCTGAAATCAATATCAACAACATTACAATCATGTAACCACTATAAAACAATACATTACTGTATCATACGTTGATTTTCTTTCTAGTGATGCCAGTGTTCCTTTGATATTGTTGTATGCTTGTGACTTGGTTTTCAGATCATGTTCTATTTGYGTCACTTGCTACAAGGAAAGACCATTAAACAATTCACACATGAAGTTCAATATTTCAATTGGCATAATATGCTTTAAACCCAAACCTTGCTGATGATTTCGGTTAAATTCCTCAGTGATTGTTTGATTGGGTATTTGGCTGAATCCCACTGGAACTTAGTCACGTAGTTTGACAGATCCTCTGTGAAAGGAATGAAACTGCATGATTGTGATTTTGAAATAAAATCGAAATAACGCTGTTATTACAATCTTCTGTACATAATTCAAAAGTTGAATTTGCACAGTATGCTCTCCATCCTTCAATTATCACTCGTCGTACTAAAATAAATGAGATTTGGAAAAAAAGGGAATATACTTACGGCCATTGGCCAGTAGGTTTTCCTTAACTCGATCCTAAAATAAAAGTCAAATGGAAGTGAGTATTATAAAAGGACTGCTGAATAATCAAATAGGTTTGGTTACCTGGTGCTCACCCTCTAATACATCAGACATGTAATGTGCTACTTTCCTGGTTACACTACAAAAAATGAATGAATAAATCCTACAATTAATGTTCATAAAAAAAAATACTACACCGAAAACTAAAAAACAAACCTGTCAACATAGATATCCAGTTTACTCAAATCATCAGACAAACCGACTAATGTATCCAGTGTACCAACCTACAACAGTAATAATAAACCAGTGATAAAATGAAACTTCTTCTTTTACAGAGTATATYACAACCTTGGGATACCTGTGTTCTTCTGGTCATTGGCTCAAGTGACTAGGATTAGGTATCTCAAAGGTTTATATCTCATAATTAAGACTTATTTGATTATTCTATTACATGTATAATTAAGACCAACAACTGTGCTTATAAACATGCTTGATAGCCAATGAGAGCAGTAATAAAATTTAGCATAAATTACTGTAAGTGACAAGTTTTGGTGCATCTTACTAAAAGCAAGAGATTCCATCAGTTGTCAAATGATTACAAACCACTGAATGTACACCTTGTACAATACTCTATTATAATGACAGCTAATTTTCTTGCCAATCAAATACATAATACATATAATAATTTAATGAAAAAACACGACATTCCAATACAGATTAATWAAGTCAATACGATACAATTTCAGTTAAACGAATCATTCGAGAAAGACATTTAACTTAATGGTTTAATCATCAGTCACATGACAAAATGTAAGGTGAATTATGTAGGATTGACTGAAGAAAAGTGATCTGTTAGCAGTTCATAAGACATCCGTAACACATCTCAATACAATCAGTCAAGGCCTATGTCTCGCCAGTGATCCCAAAATAGTATCTTACAAACCCACCTTGAGCTCCGGGATGGAGAACTTCCACACGGGAGAAAGTCCAACCATGTTAGTTTTTAACGCTTCATAAGTCTGTTGCGGAGTTTTTTCACCAGGAGCAGACACAAGCCAATACTCCGCCATGGTTTAAARAGCAATCGTAGAAAGAATTGCTCGGAAAAGTATAAAATATATTTGGTTTTTGTCAACACAATTCTCACTCGAAAACTACAAGATGTTTTCAGAYTCGTTGCGCATGTATACCGATTATATCGCGGGCTCATTTACTCGAGTTAAAATCGACGTTTAGTTTTCAATCAATAATCACTCGTACTTTAGACCACAATCCATATTTGGAAAAAAGACTCGTGACGACTTCCGTTGATATTCGGCTTCTGTTCGATTTTATGTTCAACTTTGCCAAGAAAGGAAAACAGAAATATTGTGGTCTAAAATTTTGTGATATTTAGTATTTTTATGGCAGCAAAGCAAGGGAAGGGCTTATCACACTTTTTTTCTAAAGATAAGGTGAAKATAATAAGTTTTTATTATGACAATTGAAGCTGAAACGCCAACAAACATGGTCGAATAATACTCTGTTGTTTATTATAAGTATTAGACCTTGTTAATTTACATTTAACACGTTTTTCACGACTTTTCAATGTTATTTTACAGACATTTAAACCGAAGAAGAAGTTTAAAGAAGGAACTCTTCGCTACGATTTACATAAGCAGGCAAAGGTAAACATGACGGAACAAAACAGCTTTTGAGTATCACATTATCGCATGTTGTATAATGTTTGTTAGTAATTTTAATTTAATTTGTAATTTTAATTGGTTTTAGGCGACATTACACTCCGGGATCTCYCTGCAAGATTGTGTTAAACTCCCTCCAGGAGAAGATCCTAATGACTGGGTTGCTGTTCATGGTAAGAATTCATTTACGTCTTTATGGTCCTAAAAAAATYTTAATGTAAAATCACTGCGAAAATATATCCATTGATAAAGGAAATCACAAACGAATCATTTCCGATGCTATCAGGGAGTTACCACAATAATGGCAGYACAGTTTTCGACATTTTGACCCAGACTGTATTGCTGTGCCAATTTYATTTCCGGTTGTGAAACATAACCAWKCTTATTGTARCTCGATAATCCGACCAAGTTATAAAATTTATAATTGTCTTTATTGTAAGAAGGTCAATTTGGCTTTGTGGAGGTTACTGTAGTAACTTGGGCTAAACCCACCCCCATAGGACTCTAGGAGTGTAATCCTGTGGTGGTGATTGACCAGAATAGCTAAATGATTGGCAGGCTGAGTGATTGATTCATAGGTGTATCAATCTGTCAGTCAGTCARTCAATCAATCATTCAGCTACTATTWTATTAGGTCCRAATTGTCAGGACTGATTGCCATAGTAAGTGACAAGTTGACTGATCAATTGATCCATATAAAGATTGATTGATTAGTTGGATCACTAATTGACTGTGTAGCTGATTGATTGATTGATTGATTGATTGATTGATTGATTGATTGATTGATTGATTTTAGTTCAATAATAAGTGTTTTTGTTTCAGTTGTTGATTTCTTCAACCGTATTAATCTAATCTATGGAACAGTGTTTGAATACTGTACACCAGAAAGCTGTCCTTCAATGACTGGAGGACAAAGGTTAGCATATGATATCTACTCTATATTTTCCTTATACCAGTAATTATATCATAGTTCGCATTTACTTAGTAGCTTCATTTTCAGATACGAATATTTTTGGTGTGATGGCGATAAATACAAGAAGCCTACAGCATTACCAGCGAGACAAGTGAGTTGACCATTAATGTGACTAGTCTTGGTGTTTTGATAATTTCATGACATGTGATGTTATRCTTGCAGTATATTGCTTTACTCATGGACTGGACAGAAAACATCATCAACAATGAAGATGTCTTTCCAGTGGATAAAGGTCAGATGATGATGATTGTTATTATAATTATTRCTATAAAAATAATGTGATTGATGATGATGTTGATTACAATGATGATAATGGCGATTTATGATTATTATGATGATCATTTTGATTGATTATGAATACTAAATAATGATGTGTGTGATGATGCAATAATGTTGATGATAAYCTTGATTTAAATTATAGGCAAAGAAGTATGTGATTTAGTGAAAACAAAGGAGATATGGAGTAATTTATAAATTATTTATAGCTAATCGCAAATACGCCATGATACTGTTTATTGATATAATATCCTTTGTATATTGTAGATGTACCATTCCCTAAGGTGTTTCTTCCATCAGCAAAGAAGATTTTAACGAGATTGTTTAGAGTGTTTGTTCACGTCTACATCCATCACTTTACAAATATACAAGAACTTCAAGCTGTAAGTATAGTGATAAAACACTCATAATTATAATAAATTTATAGTAATAATGATTTTATGTCGAAGCTGTAATGTTAACAAGGATTTTTTATTTATCAGGAGGCCCATGTTAATCAGTGTTACAAGCATTTCTATTACTTCATATMTGAGCTCAAACTGGTTGATCCAAAAGAACTGGAACCTTTGGTAAGTATAGTATGATTGGTTGATGAATTAACCAATCACCTGCACAGTTGTATTTGGTTTGTTGTGATTGGTTGGCTAACTAATCACATGACCTACAATGTAGTTAGCTGACTAACCAATCACTTTATGCATATCATRGTTGGTTCTGATTGGTTATTTTCTGCTTACTTTCAGAAAACTTTGACAGAAAGGCTGTGCCCAACTTGAGATGGCTATTATTGTATTTTTCTATTCAATTATTGAATATTATATCCATCGAAATGCAATCATTTTTTTATTCATCAAAATTTCAATTATCCACAAAATTTGTATGAATGGTACTAATTGTATACTTTCACTTYATCAGGAAGTAAAATTTTTATAATMCAAAAWTTAYTAAATTAAAAAACATGAAAATTGGTAATTTTGCTCATAGATGTGTTTGTCTCTTTATATCTCACATTCTTTAARATTCAAAGTTTACATTGTTTACTCTCCTTSCAGCTTGTTTTGTGCASAAYCCCTGTGCTCAATTAAGTCAATTGAGGRACCATAACTGATCATGGATGCTGCAAGGAGATGACTACAATTTAGACAAATAATGAATATTTTCAGGATTATAATTTTTCTTTTGTTTTTGATATTACTTTCAAAATCCAATCAAATATCTATWAAGTGCATGATTGTACTTTAATCTRTCTCAGAGAAAACAWTTACAGACATCTTTATATAAACAGGTTTTTGGGACCTTGTATAAGGCTCAGACCTCRTACAGTAAAATGTAGCTGACTGTAGCTAGAATTTTGTATTATGACATTCTTTGTAAATCAATGCAATACTTTGCAATAATATGCAGTTTTTAAATCAATCAATGTACACATTTTATGTGATGAAATACTATTTAATTAAAAAGATATATTTCTATTGGTGTCAGGTTCTAATAAGCACTAATAATTTGTCAGTTGAATTTAKGTAACCACTACAAGTGTAACAAAAGGTGTGAAAAACGGGGGGGGGGGGGGGTTGGTAAAACTTCTGAGTACATTTGGATTTTCCAGAAAGTGCAATTCCTGGTACCAATAAACCAGTTGTGGTACCAGTAAAAGAGGTGTAAGGAGAAAAACAAAGGAATATAAGTACATATAAGAGAAAAAAATATGAGAAACATATCAGAACAATGCAATACATACAGATACTAATAAATACCATACAATCAAAACTTATGTTTTATGCTAACWAATATAATCATTTTCTTCTTAAGTTGAAATCTAATTTGAGAAAATAAAAGGTTTTCATTGTCACTCGTTCTTTCTTTCTTTCATTCCCAGTCTTCCTGTTTAAAATAGCCAATTTACGTAGGGAGGGGTGGGTCATTAATCTGATCGTATAGTACAGTGTGTCGTGCATGCGCGGTACATGCTCGTGCTCATAGATATGAAGAGAAAAAATAACAGAAGTGAGTCTTTTGCAGCCGAAATTTTTAACTTTTCCTCGATAAAGAGACTTCATGTTTTGCAGTCGTCCTGTTGAATGGCTGGTGTAAAGTATATTCATTATGGCTACCGCTTTTAATTGGTGAATTGGCAAGAAAATTGAGGTAAGATTTGGTTGTGAACTAGTTGTCAAACTATGTAATAAATGAGTTAGTGAGGTATGCARAAACTTCTATCAATTCTGCGTTGAATTAACAGTGGATTGAATCAGTATTTTCTTAATCTTAAGGTAACACCGAGTTCAGCTTATTGCCTTATGAAYATGCTGTAATTYCGCCTACAAAACAGTATATATTGCGTACGACTTGCATGGAAAAAGTTGACTTCTTCAAAACTTAATTACAAATTCCTCAGGTGCATTGATGTCGATTACATTTTCGTCGATGAAAACCTGATTTAAGTTTATGTGATATTACCATGTACAACAAAGTGCGTTGATTTCAAACGTTTCTTTATTTGAATGTAGACGTAGCCTGACCTATACGAATCCCCACATATTTAGGTTATATCGGTAGCCAACACAATGTTTTGGTTATTGTTGGTGTTCAGCAGTCTGGAAATACAACACAACTCGAAATCTGCTTTGCTGACTTCTATAGTCTTCACATAATAGAATTGTTTACATAAGTTTTCAATTTTCACTCAAAGAATTGTAAAACATATCTTATTTTATAGACTTTTTTGTATATTATGTAAAATTTATAAACCTAAGTTTTAATTTGCATCACATTTTGGGATATTAATCATTAAATGAAAACAGTTGAAAATATTGGTAGCTGAAGGCTTGATTTGCTTCTAATATCAGTTTGCAAGTTAATGATGTGTGCCTAAATTTTTTATATTAGAATGGAAATCAATGAACAATAAATTTGCTGTCATTCATCTTTGCTAGCAGGGCAACATCACTTGCTTTTCAATATTTTCCTGCACCTTTGTGGATTTGAATTTGTTTATGTTTTGCATTAATAAAGAGTATTAAATGGACCAGATATTGTCTCATTAAGATCACATTTATCCTAGCTTGTTTAGTGAATATTTCCTCAAGGGCTGACTTTCTTTTGTTGATTGTCTATCAATTTTGTTGTCCTTTGACTTTATAAATTTATAATGAAGCTAATATCACAAGTTTTAATGAATTTCACTTGCTCCTAGATTATGTCCAGGGATAGATGGATGAGTTCTATGTGAGAGTCTCCTTTCAATACAATGGTACTAATCCAGATGAGCTCTCAGCAACTGAAGGAGATGTAATTAAGGTTATAAACCAATTTAACGAGCACTGGTATAATGGTCAASTCAATGATAAAAAGGGACTCTTTCCCGTTTCCTACACAACACCTATCAATCATCCTTTGCAACAAGAGATCTTTGTAGCTACAGCAACTTATCAAGGAGCAGGACCTAATGAACTTAGTTTTGGTAGAGGAGATCAAGTCAAGGTCATTGAGGATGTTGACTCTAATTGGTGGCGAGGAGAGGCTGGTGACCAAATAGGAATTTTTCCCAATTCATATGTCGATAAACTTTATGATTCAATATGCTCAGATGAGGACGACACTTCTGTATTTTATGCTAACTCTCAAAATGGTCAAASCTGTGTATCTGTAGAAGCCTTGTACAGTTTCTCTGCAAGGAACCAAGAAGAATTAAGTTTTCCTGAGGGTGCAATAATTAATATAATTAAAGATGTTGATGATGATTGGTATGAAGGAATGTTCGAAGGAAAAGCAGGATTATTTCCAAAGAGTTATGTTCAGCCTTTCCAAGACATTTATGAAGTTCCTCCTACACCCTGTGCAAGATCAATTTACCCCTTTGTTGGAGAAAGCGAATCTGAACTGACCTTCAAAGAAGGAGAAATTATATTACTTCGTAAACGTGCTGGTTCACAATGGCTAGAAGGAGAAATAGATGGAGTCGTAGGATTATTTCCAGCAAGCTTTGTTGATATTGAAATTGATCTTCCATCTAATGAAAGCAAAACTCAATCATTGCCTCAAAAGGTCCCTTTAAAAGAGGGGATGAGAATGAGGGCACTTTATCACTTCTCTGCCTTGCACCCTGGTGATTTAGCCCTTAATGAAGGRGAYATAGTTACAATAGTTAATGTTGTTGATGATAACTGGATAGAAGGAAGAGTGAAAAGTGGAGTGACGGGAATGTGTCCTTCTGCATACCTAATGCTGACTGACCAAGATTCAACTAGTAATAGTGGACATCTTCATTCAAGCCAAAACACTATTTGTAACCAACTAAGAGCAGGAATTGTTGCAAGAGACAATGTAAGCAATGCTTCACAATGTTCTTCACTTTCATCTATTTCTCCAAGTGAGTGGGATTCTGGGTTAAAAGGAGATGACTCTACGGACTCAGTGTTTGTTTCAAGTAGTAGATACTGGGATGGTAAAGCATCCTTTAACAAGACAAAACCTGCCCCAAAACCACCACAGAGTCAATCTGAGGGCTGTTTTAATGTCAATGGAATGCATAACAATCTACCATCAAGGAGTCTATCACAAAGTTATCCAGCACAGAGTAGGAGTACTTCTACGTCAACTGATAAATCATCCATATATGCTATCCCATTTAAAAGTTCCAAAACTAGAATGTCACAGTTTAGAGGACAAAGTACATCTGCTGYAGGTAGCACAACGACATCAGTGTCGAGTGATATAGATGGTAACCGTAGCAACAGTGATTCAACCAGTGGRAGATCATTGATTGACATGAGTGTTTCACATAGAGCTTCTAGTTTTAACTTAGCATCACCATTGGTCCCATTACCATCAAAAATCCCCTCACAGGGGGAGAKGACAGAAGAACCTATTGTACCAAAACGAAGAGCACCCTTACCTCCTAGGAAAACARCATCAGACACACCTCCATCCCCTAAGAAAACAAATGCTTTTGCACCCCCACCCCCAAGGAAGACATTGTCTGATATACCTTTATCCTCAGGAAGAAAAATGTCGGACACACCAACATCCCCTAAGAAGACTGAYGCACCCCCTCCCCCTAGAAAAACACTGTCTGAGCAAAAGCCTTTAACAATGCCGAGATCAGGAGTTAAAGGGAAAGGCTTGGCATCTGATGACAAAGTATCAGAAAGATATGGTAGTTCTTCAAGCATTGGCAGTGGGGGCAGCAATAGTTCTGATAAAAGTCACAGTTTAAAACCTGCTTCTTCACTAGAAACATCACACAAGAAACGTCCTCCCCCTCCCCCCACAAGATACAATAAAGACAAATTGAATAGTAGTCCTAGATCAGCAACGATATCAGCATCTTCTCGTGAACATTACAAGCAAGATAAAACAACTATAAAGCCATCCAGACCGTATTCTGTGTACTACATAGGGGAGGATGAGAAAGATAATAAGGTTTGTAAGCAATGTCTTAGCAAGGTATCTGCTTGTCTTTCATTATTATTGCATTCAGTGTCAATCTGGATGTTTTCAGCCAACCAGAGTGACTCTGTAAGCATGATATAAGCCAATCAAATTGAATCATGACAGTGTCGTCAGTAATCATTCAGCCAATCAGATTTTATAATGTTTTGACAGTTTTAAGCCAATTAGATCTTGTCGTATTAAACGTTATTTGATCTTTATCCAACAGTTCTATTAACATACAGCATTCTTGTGCTTACAGCTTAGTAAAGCCAGCAGTCTTGAGGACATCAGGCRAGTTAATGTAGAATCTTCACAAGATGAACAAGACTCCAAGGATTTAGTTGATGACATTGATGTTTGTATGTATTATTCAATGCAGTACTCTGTCATAATGCTCCAATCTCTTTGCAGTTCATATTGAAGTGCAAGTCATGCAATGTTTGATTTGGAGCAGATTTCATATGAATGCAATATAACAAACCACTATTTCTTTTCTATTCAGCTTTGATACCTGGAATATCAGAACTTGATAAAAAGATTGCAAATTCTGAACATAATCTACAGGTAGTGTTTTAATTAAGACTCCCAGTATTTGTTTCATTTGTTCTTTGCTGTCAACAATTATTTTCCCATGAATTACTGGTTTACAAGGAGAAAAGACAGTCATGAATAACAATGAGAAATGCTTTGCCAACTGGAATGAACCACCAATGTCTGCAGTAACATCAACTGAAATCAGACAATTGCAAAGACAGGATAAAAAATTTTATGTTATATTGCAAACCAATGATTTTCTGTTTCATGATAGGTTGAATGGAGAGCTTGTACAGGAATGAAGACTATTCTTCAGGTATGATTGTCTTATTGATTGATTGGGTGACTGACTCTCTGATTGATTGGTTGATTGGTTGGTTGGTTGATTGATTGATTGATTGATTGATTGATTGATTCATTCATTCATTCATTCATTCATTCATTCATTAATTCATTGATTCATTGATTCATTAGATGCTAGTACATGACACAGACAAGCATACAGAGATGGAAGGAAAAATATCTCGCAGTCAGCAAAAGATAGAAGAATGGAAGGACATAACCAATGGATTAAAAAGTACTTYTAATGCTCCTCACAYCTWCTGTSATGTCTCTCTTAATGTGCTTTTTAGATGTCTRTTATAATCCTTGCCAATGTTATGACATTGCAATTCTTGTGCWCCCTCCATGCACAAGGAACTGTCATAGAAACTGCTGCAAGGAGATTGACTGTCTGTGTGCTTTTTTGATTTTTTTTATAATATTATTTTCTTCAGTAAGTGTTTCCTCTTACTTTATATGATAATGATGTAATTTTTATTTATCTTGTAGATGAAAGGACATATCTAATTCAGTCTTATCCTAAGAGAAAGAGAATTGAGGATAGTATAGCATTGCTTGAGGCTGATCTTCAGGTAAAATCAGATTCAAATTGGAATATTCTCTTTTGAAAAATACAAGKAACAAGCCAAAATGATTGTTGATATATTAAGGTATGGTTAATGTACCTTTGTTTTTTTTACACAGAAACAAGTCAGGAGTCAGAAAAGTCTACAAGTTCTGCTAGGTGTTGTGGAAGAAAGTCGCAAGGAAGAAGTTTTAGAAAACCTTAGTCTTTGCGATGCCATTATCAGTGATTTACGAACAAACATTTCTGAAAGAGAAGGTTTGTTAGAAATATACATTTGTTTATTTTTTCGTCAGTGAATTCCAAACAAAGAAAGGCTTTTCTTGACATTTGACATTTGTTAAACCTTGTCCCATGTATACTGTAGAATCTTTGAAAGCCCTCAATCAACCAAAGTCCAGCAAGTCAACACAAAAGCAATTTGCTGAGCAGAGAGAAAAAGTTGTCAAAGAGCTAATTGGTACAGAACAGGACTACCTCAGAGACTTGAAGTTATGTCTGAAATATTTTGCTGAAGAGCTTAAGTCATCCAAGGTAGGATTTGTAACAGAATATGATCTGCTATTGTGTGTTTGTAGAGAGCTGTAGAGTTGTGTAGGAGTACTAAGAGGTTCAGTTCTGTTAAAGTTTTCTTGATTACTTCTGAACTTTTTATACATTTTATAAAATTTTTAGGAYGATCATTATGTTGTAACTGTTACTGTCACAGCATCTTGAGTGCATTCTCAATAATTTGTTTTATCAGGTTGTAGAGTCTGATATTTTGTTTGGTAACATGCAATCAGTTGTTGACACATCAAACAAGCTCTTAGACAGCTTTGAGAAAGCTACTGAAGGAAAAGATGCTGATCATCAAGAGTTAGGTCAGTTCTCTCCTTTAATTGAGATGTTGTTTGAAGTTTTCTTCTCCAGTGATTGCCTAAAGCATCAAACAACACTTCAAGGTCCATTTTGTGGTGTAATTTGCTAATTGTCCTTTTATTTTGGTGTCATAGGCAAGTGTTTTGTAGATATGGCAGATGAAATCAAAGATGTATATGGACAATACTGCAGAAACCATGATGATGCTATTGGATTATTAGAAAANGTGTGTTTGTAGAGAGCTGTAGAGTTGTGTAGGAGTACTAAGAGGTTCAGTTCTGTTAAAGTTTTCTTGATTACTTCTGAGAACTTTTTATACATTTTATAAAATTTTTAGGATGATCATTATGTTGTAACTGTTACTGTCACAGCATCTTGAGTGCATTCTCAATAATTTGTTTTATCAGGTTGTAGAGTCTGATATTTTGTTTGGTAACATGCAATCAGTTGTTGACACATCAAACAAGCTCTTAGACAGCTTTGAGAAAGCTACTGAAGGAAAAGATGCTGATCATCAAGAGTTAGGTCAGTTCTCTCCTTTAATTGAGATGTTGTTTGAAGTTTTCTTCTCCCATGATTGCCTAAAGCATCAAACAACACTTCAAGGTCCATTTTGTGGTGTATGCTAATTGTCCTTTTATTTCGGTGTCATAGGCAAGTGTTTTGTAGATATGGCAGATGAAATCAAAGATGTATATGGACAATACTGCAGAAACCATGATGATGCTATTGGATTATTAGAAAAGGTATTCATTTCTTTTTAGTTTACTTTTCTCATTTAGTCACTTCTTTATTTCCCATTCTACTGATTGCTTTCATTTCATTCTACCACTATTTCATTTATGTATTTAATTCTCTGGCAGCCCAAAATTTCTTCCATTACCAGAAATCATACTGCCATTAAGAATTCATACTTATTAATTTTGATGGTATTGTAAGGCACAGTTGTAGCCTCCTCTGCAGGGCACTTCTTATATTCCTCGTACATGCAGGAAAGCAATGCGCCGAGAGAATCACCTTGATGCCTGATATAATCTTGAATCTTTTACAGTATGAAGATGTACCAGAAGCTCAGGAAGTCTTCAATAAATGCCTGACCGCTATAAGGTGAACAAGTAGTGGCAAATCCAGAGATGTAAATTACACACCTGTCTAAAATGTAGTGTCCTTTTACTTTTCTTCTGTGTGCATCTTGAGGCCATTTTGATAGAGAGCACATTCTCCTTGAGTGACTATCACCCCTTCCTGAAGAAAACCTTGGAACTCGAAACATTTTGTTTGTACCTCCCTCTCAACTCTTTATTCTTTTTTTTTCATTTATTTCCCATTTATCTTCCTATTTTTGCTGTTCTACAGAGACAGCACAAAGTGTTGGGATTTATCCTCATTTCTTATCAAACCTGTTCAAAGAGTTCTAAAGTATCCTTTACTTCTTGGAGAACTCTTGAAGGTAAGTTAAACGTAATGGCTGGAACTCATTCCTAGTCATCTCTTCTCCATATGATGCTCACAAAGCATCAAGGAAAAGAAGGGAAATAGAAAGAAATAGCATCTTGTATCTTTTCTCATGCTAGAAAAATATAATACAGAGATGACTGGTGACAAGTCAGGGCTAAGATCCAATCATTTTTGCAGAATCATTATAATATTAAATGTCTTTCAATTATATTTTTATACGGACAGTGCACTCCAGAGATTCATAAAGATAAACAAAATCTAATCAAAGCCATGACTGTTATGAATGAAGTGGCTGCTGAGATCAATGAAGTCAAAAGAAGAAAAGATATTGGTGAGAAAAATATGCCGTTTTTTAGTTTATTTTCTAAAGCCAACACTGTAAAAAAAAGAATCTATTTGGGTCAAGTTAATGTGGGGTATTTCATGTGTTTA